CCTATTCCTCAACGGGTTATGTAAATTACCTACATAATATGCGTGAAATCCAGACATTTAATCTAAAAATTCACAAGTATACCATGAAATGATACTTTGAAGATAATTATTGCCAAATGTGGACCCCTTTATTCTCTTATTCACCTTAAACTTTCTGATTCCACAAACATGATTGGAACTATGAACCACTTATCAAAACTGAAATTGATAGAAATTAATTTAAAATGAATTTATTACTAAAAATATAGGCCTAATTATTTTTTAAATTTTCCATTCGTTTGATGCGTTTTTCTCTTTCAGAATAGATTTCTCTAGAGATTTCTCATTTTTGTTATTAAAAAATTGCAATTTTCTAACGCTAATATATTTATTTCTGTTAGTTTTTTGACTTGTCTTCAAATAATATTAGAAGGAATTTAACAATTTCTACAATATAACTTTCAAATTGAATATCTGGTATGAAGTTTTAAGTAATTAGAAAGTTTGTTAGTATACTAGAGAAAATAATTACTTGTAATCTCGTGATATACTATTGCTATGAAGTCGTAATAATTTTAAAGTTTCTTTACATATCGATTTAAATCCAAGGATATTTAAGTTTTCTTCGTACACGGGTGGAAGATTAATTTAAATAGTTATTTTCAATATTAAAATTAAAGGCTAATATTCGAGTAAAAATGTATAATAAAGAACGTTATCGTGACTTTTCATTCGTTAACATTATAATTAAATTACTATCACCATTTCTCATTTTTTATTTATAAAAGTAATATAATTCTTAATTAAGAATTTCATTAATTTTAAATCGATAAGAAGAGTTATGTTTAGAAAAAATATATACTTATAAAAAATTGTAATCATACATAATATCATCAATATATAATATAAGATCAAACATGTTATCATTGTTTAGATGCGGCAATGCATGAACATACCTGGTGAAATCGCTCTATCTATAGTGATCTTTTTAATATCAGAATATTAAAAAAAATGGACGGAAATAAGTTTTCTATTAAGAATATTCTAATCAGTGAAATATTTCAAAAGTAAAATGGTTTTCTGAATTTTAATTAAATTTACTTTTTGAATTTTGAAATTAATTTTAAAAATCTTTATTCTTTTCTTAATTGAATTTTGTAAAGTTAAAAAAGAGTGGATGAATAACATTTATGAAAATATTGTATTTAAAGATTTTATTCAGTATGAATGCGATTGAAAATCCAATGACCGTGACATCGAACTATTGTAATTGGTAAGTCATATTTTGATCAAACCGAATATTTAACAAATTCCTACCTGCTAGTAAAGTGTAAAATTTTTTTTAAAGTGAAACGTAAGTTTAACTAAAATTATGTCAGTGATATTCAATTGTTTTAGAAACCAACCAATGTTACTGAGTGTAAAATTTATTATTTATTATCAAATTCTTCTAAGTTTTATTCGATTTTCTATTAAAATGAAAAAATATTCTTACATAAGCCACATATATATAAAGCTGCAACAGAACAATCACATCACTGGTAACTCTAAATCTATGATAAAACCGCCTAGGATCATGTGCATAAAAGGATCCTATGTTGGCTCTAAGCTCAGAGCAAAGTAAATAAATTAAGAAATAAATTTAAATGCTTAACTTAGATAACAATAATTTTTATGCTTCTGAAGGTAAGTGCTTCATAATGGCTTAATTTTATATCTGTTAAGTTTTTCATTGAAAACGTTTGNGGAGATGGATAAAGATCTACATAGAAAGAAGTGACATTGTAAGGCAACCAGCAAATAACAAAACAAGAAGTCATGCCCATTAGTAGATTAGCCAATTTCCTTCTGCTTTTCAGACCCGCATTTCGCTTCTGATTTCTGTCAGATGTCTTGCAATGTGTCTGTCTATCTGACATCTGCAAACTCGAATGATATATGTCTGAATGATATTTTTATTTAAATTTTATTATTGCATTTTATTAAATATTAAAATAAATCTTTTAACAAAAAAGTACAATTTTTTTGTTTGTCTTCTTTGATATTTTTGATCTGTCATCCCCTCTTCTAAAAGTCATTTCCAAAGTCTTCTAATGGGATATCACTATCAAACCTGACAAAATGTCGACAGTTACTGTCAGTCTGCTCGATACTTCCTTGTCAGAAACGTGTTGCTCCTTCACTTTACAGCTTTATCTATCGAAATTGTTAACTTGAACTGTTACATAATATCTTATTATAAAGATATTTAACTGTCTATTACATAAGTCTACACAGTATTATAAGTAACGTGATTTTTGATTAAAGCATTACTTATAGGGTTGCAAAATATTGCATGTAACTAACAAATTGTAGATCATAAACACGCCCTTTTATGATACGATCAAGATAACTGGTCTTAATTCTTAAATACAAATATAATTAACTTCTACCATGGAATACAGGGTTGTTACTTGCTGTATTTTTGGAAAAATTCTTCAAAAATACGTATTTTTTAAAAGACTTTTTTGAAGGATAATTATTTATTTTTTTAAAATTAAAGCTTGAGAATGTCTTAAGTTCTTCGTTGAAAAGCTTAAAGCATTATAACTACAAACTCAAAGATGTGAGCAACGTTATGAAATAAAGATTGAAACTCCAAAAAATATTGTGAAACGAGGTTCCAAGAAGGGTCTAAGTTACATTACAGTTATGAATTCTCATTCTCATAGCCGTAACGATAACTCAGAACCTTATAGGTGATAAAGTCATAAAGAATTATAGCTATGAAAAGACTCTATATGGTCTTGGTAATGGTCTTAAATGACAATTTATAAATTCCATTTAAAACACGATATCAGCTGGCACCGTAGAGTAAGTATGAATTTATTTAATAAAAAAATTATTAACATTTACAATAGAATATAAAATTTGAATTTATCTTATAATAAATTAAAATTCATTTAATAATTTAATAATTTAAAATGTAATGAATTTTATATCATCAAACCTATATATTTTTACAGAATTTGTAATTTAAACATATAGGATGATTTATGATACTAGCGCCAGACTTCACGTAAATTTGTAGAATGATACGATAAACGACTTTGTTCCGATAAACAAATTTCCAGAAATGCACTGCTGAGACTGTAGATAGACAGATATTCGGTATACCAGAGTACCGTGCAATGAGCATTATCTATATACAGATATGGGGTACAATTAGCTTGACCCTTGCAATGTTGAACCCTTGCAAAGTTCGATAACCTGTCAACGTGAACACGTACTGTACATCACAGAAAAGTTAGCAGGCATGGATCGCATATATACAGAGGCTTTGGCAATACTGGGCAGCGGAACGCCTGTGACGTGTGCATTTTCCCTGTGGTCGGCATAATTTGCCTGAGAGAGACTGGAATGTTACAGTGTATACAATATGTCACAGTGAAATTTGACCAGTATGTATGATGTTTGAATGGAATTGTTGACGACATTCTCCTCTCAATCTCCTGGTCATAGTTTCTCTTTTGTCATTATTTTACTTAGCTGAAGAATTACGTTATAGTTTCGTTGTTTTCATTTTCAATTAAACAAACACTATTATTAATACATTTTTCATTATTCTGTAAATTAGTAAAATGAAAACACCAAAACTGTAATCAAAACTGTTATTTTATTTTAAGTGACAAAAGTGAAACTATGACCATGAAATGTCGTTGATAGTCATGTTCAGATATCGTACAAATTGGCCAAATTTCACTGCAGCATATTGTACACATACAGGATCAAACGCCATAATTCGGGATGTATAGTTTGAAGAGGAAGCTTTGGTATACGATGCGAGACATCCACCCACCAGCACTCGGGCAATCGCAGCAAATGCAGGTGATTCACTAACAGTATATGAAGCGAGACTGAATTTCATTTCTTGCAGGTGCAGTGTTTACATTACTTTGTACCATAACATATGTTCTGCTGATGATTGCTATAATAGTCAGCAGCTAACCTTGAATTCTTCCAACAAATGCTGTTTTGGCCAGTACATATTAATAGAGATGCTCGTTGGCTTTCTTGGTCAAGACACTGAAAGACGTGCTGCTTCTCCTGCTCAAACGAATATTGTTTCAAAATAATGGTGCATTTTTCTTGCAAAGTCCGCCGTTTCTTGGACATGAATTTTTCCAGCCACAGGCGCAAACAACATAGATACAAACAACAAGCTGGCGCTTTCATAGGACTTCATCTCTTTATACTTTTTCGTGAGATCATCTCAAAGCGCTCGTGTACGAGACCCCGTCAGCAGAACGGGAAGGCTGATAGGCAGAGTCGTTGCAGTGTTTGACCAGATTCGAGAGATCTCGACATTTGAGATAGAGTTCGACAATTCTTAAAGCTGTTTTGTAAGTTGGGACATCAGTTTTAAAAGCTGTTGTAAGTGACCGCACATGATACATTCAGGACCATTTGCTGTATGTCATCCGAGCAAAATGTAACCTGTCCAGCGATTAACGGTATATTTCCAGACAAGTGTTTATAGATCAGTTATTTGCTGAATCATAATACAAATGTAAGTAAAGTATGCGCCATTGTCATGAATGAAAGCCATTTTATGTAAGCATCAAACCTGTTTAATTTCCATTTTTCATATTATAATTATGCATAAATATTCATAAAATACATTTAAAATCTTTAAAATTAGGCTATATATTACAAATTTCTATATTTTAAATTTTTTTTGTTACATTTAAATTAGCCTATTTTTTAGATAGGTAAATAATTATTACATTTTATAAAGTAGCAATGAATATATTTATTTATAATCGCAATTTTCTTGTAGTCTAAACAATGATCGGAGAACCATGCGATATAAAGAACATATATATCATTTAATTAACATATACATTTTATACACTATAAATATAGAATACGATATTAAAAATACTTTTTAATAACATCTTAATAAATGTTTAAACATATATTTAAAGTAAAAAATATATAATTTCATGGGATAAATTACTTTTTAAGATTTCATTGTCTGCTTATTTCATAGTGAACTCTTTTAATGTATACTTTGGATGGAAAATACCTAAAACACTATCTGATGTAAACTCGTTACTGTGACCAAAATTTAAGCACATGGGATGTGTTTTTGGTGGAAATTTATTCGCTAAAGTTTTGTTATTGAAAGCATTTTTGACTTTTAAACGAACGTCTCTGTTCATGAACCAATAAATTATAGGATTTATAGCACTATGGGCGTGTCCTAACAATAGTGTAAACGGTAGGAACACTACAAGAGATGGAGATGGATAAAGATCTACATAGAAAGAAGTGACATTGTAAGGCAACCAGCAAATAACAAAACAAGAAGTCATGCCCATTAGTAGATTAGCCAATTTCCTTCTGCTTTTCAGACCCGCATTTCGCTTCTGATTTCTGTCAGATGTCTTGCAATGTGTCTGTCTATCTGACATCTGCAAACTCGAATGATATATGTCTGAATGATACGAATTTGCAATGGTATTAGGTGGTGTTGGGGGAACGTCGAAGGAACAGCTAGATCTACAACGGAAAGATTTCTGTCTAGAATTGTTTCTATTGAGAAATGATGACTTTTCAGTAGTACATAAGGTACTACTGACTCCAGAATGGCAAACAATCAGAACAGTACAGGGAAGGACATAGACTATAATAAGAGTCACGATAGAAAATGCTCTTCTATTAACATCAGAGTTCCATTGTTCTATGCAAAATTTCATGTGTACCGATCCCAAGTGTAATTCTTGCATGGTCCGTGTAAAAACCATAGGTAACGATATGAGTGACGCTATAGTCCAAACACTTATAATCATAACCGCAAGCAAAAAATTTCCGCTAATTTTCTTGTATAAGTTGGGGTATCGAAGAAAAGTGTAACGATACAGACTCAAAATGGTTAATGAAAGTGTTCCCGCTGTTACGGCCATCCCTATTGAAAAAAAAATACATATTTACATAATTTTTAAACTAAATTAAAGAATTTCGAAATTCTAACTTACCTTGAAGATAGGAAAGCATTTTACACAAGGTATGCCCCAAGAGCCAAAGTTTAGTGGCACTCGTATACGCAGTAATGGGACAACATATCAAAATGACAAGCAAGTCGGCAATACATAAATTGATAAAGACTCGATTCCTCGCTTGATTTGGTACTTGCTGTTTAGTTTTGTTTGCAAAATATATTATAACAAAATTACCGACCAAACCCAAAATGAATACAATAGCGTAAAGGCTAATTAATGCTATGACTGTGATATTATTGATATTTATAAGGCGCGTCCGAAATTCGTCCAAAATGACTGTCACGTTAGTGAAATTGTCCTTGAGGAATGGAGGATACAAATGTTCTTTGATAGGAATCGATTGATGTAGATCAAGATTTACGTCAAGTCCTAATGTCTGTAGAGATTTCAAAGGTGAACTAACATTAGACAAGAAAGACATCATGGAATCTGGAAAAAATATATAATTCTGTAATTAAAATATATTTAAATATAATTATTTAATTTAAAAGTTTGATAATGTAGAATTAATTTGAATTAAATTTTAAAATAAAACAATTTTTAAAATGAAATCTCAACATGTCCATTCACAAACTGAATGACTGCATAAAGCAGTCACTCAGTTTCGTTTAAAGGTAAAAGCCACTAGTGGAAGTCCAGGCTTTTATGAACTCTTAGAGTATGTATTTAAAAGATTCACTCCTTGTTGAGTTGATGCTCCAAGGAGGCACAATAAATGTTAACGCACATTGTCTTATAGTTGAGCGATTGCGGTGGTCGTTGTCCTCCGAGACAACGCCCGGTTCATGACCCCGAAAAAACAAAATAACTTTTGTTAAGTTTGGGCCATCTGACTTATAGTTTGGACCAGGCCCTAAGTGGCTTTCACTTTTTTCTTGAGAATTTTTGGACGCTTTGTTAGTAGAGAAGCAGTGGCGTGCCGTGCTATTTGATGATAGGGAAGCTGTGTTTCTGTAAGAAGCCGACTTCCAGGGGCAATCAGTTAATTCTCTAAATGTATTTTTAATAGATTATTTATCTGACGTACTTAATAAATAAACAAGTTCAATATAATTACTTCTGCTATTTGATTCAATAGATTCCCTATGCACTCTAAATGCCAATTCTTGCTTTGATAAAAACATGTAACATCTATTAATGTAGATAAAATATATCTATTAGCTGTAATTACCTTTTAATATTTATTTCATATTATTTACTAATGTTAAATTCTATTCCGCTTTGATTTCCAAATTGCTTCAAATACGAAAGAATCGACAATTTTTCGTGTCTTTTGCCAGCTAAATTGTCAAAGCCATTCTTATTCCACACACTAATTTCATTTGAAAATAGTAGGCAAGCCAACAAAACAATTTTTGCATTTTTATGCATTTACAGAGCCATTTTATCGTGAAAATGTCGAACAAATTTTTTTATTGAAGTGTTTATATTTAACTTAGGCATTGGCCTTTCTCTTTTAATAATGTTTTCTTTTTCATTATATGATCTCGAGCCAAAACTTTTTTAAAATAAATTTTCAATATCGCAATAACATTCTGAATCGCTAGCCACGATATAAGGGCTAAAATTAAAAATAAAATTATAAAAACTTACTTGGTGAAATAAAATGTGTGGTGGATATACATACCTGGTACAAAACATTCTTCAATTGTATGAATATACTTTTTAAAAAAATTATAATTAAATATAGCTTTGTAAAGAAACGTACATAGAAATAACATAAAATATTGTTTACTCTTTTAATTATAACCACTTAGTCAAACAGCTCTCTACAAGTGGATCTTGGTAGGTGTGCAGTGCATGCATGCATGCCAAATCCCGAGAGAGCTGATACCGGTCAACGTCAAATGCCTCTTTTGTCGCATCACTAGAATACCTCAAAGGACGCGACAGGGTTGTTGTAAATTTTAAACGTTTCTCGCCATAGCTGTAAAAATCTAATTATGTGAAACTTAATAGATTGTCCGTCATTTGTTTTCTAACTAATTCGTTTTAGGACCAGGTGTTGTCCACGGAAATTTCCAAAATTTACTTTTCGGTCACTCTCGTCGAACTGGAAAAATGCCTGTCTTTATTACATCTAATATTTCGAAGAAATCAGTCTCCACTGTACTCAGCTAGAGATTGGTTCGGTTAGGCTTTTATTTAAGTAAAATTTCGGCTCTTTCGTCAGGGTTTTATTTATGTTCCCAATTCCCTAATTGCTTAATTATTTAACTACTTCTTAAGTAGAAATAAGTCGAAACCGGTTTCTTCGTACTCGAATATTTGTAGTCTCGGGAACAAAGTGGTAAGACAAATTTCTATGACAACGGATACATAAATCGTAAATTTAAGGAAAATAAATTCTAGAGCTTTTTCTGTACCTTGTGCATCTCTCTCATTCATTAAATTTACCAGTAGTTGTAAATGATGCTGTCGAAGTAATAGTTAATTTTTTAACATTGTACAAGATTTGTACACGTTTTTTTCCTACATCCCCTTATAGATGGGATATACGAAATCGTAATATCACTGGTTTAACATTGAAATCCGTGAGTAATATAAAATCGGAGAGCGGAATAAAAATATCAAATACTTTAATTGATTTTTTAACTCCTGTCAACTATACAGAACTATCATAAAAACATACCAGTAAATTCTTATCGGTTGGGTTAAGTTATAAATGTACTCGTGATTCGCGTAATCGGGCGAGGGCGGCCAAATATCTAGCGGGCGAGCGGCTAACAGCCCAGAACCGGTCCCGGATAGAATTGGATGCGTTATACGTGTAGCAGCCACCCGAGGTCCTAGGCTTCCACCGGCTAAACCGGGTGAGGTTGGTGCTCTATAAAGCGCATGCGCGAATCTGGCTTTTTGGATGCTGACAATACAGCGCTTCCACTCCGCCACTAATATTCGAATATGCAATAGCAATCCTCAGTGGCGTAGCGTGGGTATCAGTCGCCCGGTGCGGAAGAAAATTTCGCCTCCCTTATTTAGGTATCTCAATTTAAAAGACTAAAATTCAGTTTCATCACAGAATAAGCAATGAAAAATTCCGTGCTAGTGCAGCGACCTGTTTAAAATAGCTCTAATGGATATTGGAGGTGTATATGAATACGAATGAATCGTACAAGCAAAACAAAAAAAAAAATCAACAGGTAGCGCAGGATATCCCGGGAAGAAATTACTAGTTCACCCAGACGGTGAGTCGATTCCCGGACTGTCCGGATGATAGCACTGTCGTAGGCGCGACACAAATATAGAATAGAATGGTTCAAATTTTTACAAGATATTATTATTATTTATTGTGAAATTTTGTCGCCCCCTAAAAAGTGCCGCCCGGGGCGGGCCACCCCTGCCGCCCCCACTACGTTACGCCACTGGCAATCCTATTTTTTTTTTTCATGTGTAGTATAGAAATTTGTGATAAGATACATAATGCGGTTATAATAAAATATTTTGTGCGATTATTTTCATTCAATTAAAATTAATATCTGTTTATTTTTTAGAAAATACAAGGGAAGCGGCGCATCCACCGCTTCCTAGAAAGGCGAATCCACCGCTTCCAATGACTGCACGCCACTGTAGAGAAGAGCTGCATGATGTAGTTACCATGCGTTTCTGAATGGCGGTGGAAGTGTATAACGAAGGAATACAAAAACTGTTCACACTGTACAAGTGCTTAAATGTTCAGAGAGAATACGTGGAAAATGGCCTGTGATATGCAGTTATATAATATTTTTCATCAATTCTTTATTGGTTATTTTTTAATTCTAAAACAACTTTTCAAACGATCTTCGTGCTCATTAAAATTAATATATTAAAATAATTTATTGATAAAAAGCACTTTAAAAAATTTACAAAAGTAACATTCGAAATAATTTATTTTGCAAGATACATCCTTAAAAATATAGTAATTTATTAAAATAAACTTTAATAATAAAATATTATTGCTTTTTATTTTTTATTACTTCAGTTTTTAAAAATAAAAATAAAGATAGTAAATTGATGAAATAAGAAAATTATAGAGCATAATAAACTGAAAAATATCAATTTAGAAATTTTTTAAGTCAATAAAAATAAAAATTACTTTTAAAGTAAAATAGTCATTATTATTTTTTTTATAAGTGAAATTTTAAAATTAATGTGTTTTGTCATAGAAATCAGACAACAGAAACATCTAAAATTAACAATAGTTTGGCTATAGGAGTAGATTTAAAAGTGAAATATATTGTAAACAATATATTTATAAAAGTAAACAAAAATATAAATTTAAATAAATAAATTATTACAGTTGGATATGTATCTCAGTTGTACGTTTTTTTTTTCTTTTTTGCAATTATACTTTCCTACTGTCGTGAAAATGTGGAAAGCGAAAAGTTTTAACACGTTAAAAATTTTCGCTTTCTACGCTTTGTACTGTAAAACAATTTCGCCGTACGAATAAAAATTGCTTTTCGGTTTCCCATTCGTTTTCATTATTCACTGTCAATATGAACTAACTTTTAGCTCTTCTTTTCTTTATATAATTGGAGTTTCGCAGGAAGGAGGCAACTGGTATCACATACTGGTACCAATATTCGACAACTCCATCGGAAAAAACAAGAAAAAAACTGAACTTGGCACTGAACAAATTCAGTTATACAGTATCAATTTGTGACGATAATATTGGCTCTGAAAGTAGTTTCACTTGTATGCTATTTTTCCGTTTCCTTCAAAAACGTATAAATGGGATTTGACTGTATTTCCGTTGTATTCTAGTAAAAGTGAAAAAGAAAAAGAACTAATTTATTTCACAAATCGAAATTAATAGACTGTGTACTGTATAATAAATATGAAAAAAAAGTACAGAAATGATATCTGGAAAATTTAAAAACAGCCTGTACAAAGTAATATAAATTTGAAATAAATGAATTAGAAAACTAAAATTTAATCATACTCAGCTTCAAAGATAAAAAATTACAAATATAAATTTTAATAATGAGTCCTATTGTCGTTTATAAATAGTTTTTCATATATAGAGATATCAAAGTATACGAAAATTTGCAAAATACAAATAGAATATAACTTACTAGCAAATGAGCCCGGCGCTGTTCGGGCAAAAAATAACAAAAGATTAAGATTATTAGATTATTTCTTACTCCTAACCCTTCTATTATATTATATTATACAATACAGGTTTCCCTCGTACAACACGGTTTTAGAAATCCGTACAAAATTTCACAATTTTAAGTGTAAACTTTGTCATTCGATATATTTTTTTATTCAAGTAAGCACGCGTGTTGTTTTAAATGTGCCCACGAATTTTAGAATAGTGAAATTTTCAAATTATTTTGTACTTTTCGTCGTGTTTACTTTAATGAAAACTGATAAAACAAGGAAGAAAAACATTGCACTAACTTTCCTATCAACCAGGTGTCATCGTTGCTTTCAGAC